GTGGGGATCAAACCACAGCAACCTGAGCCTGACTGCTTTGTGGAAGCAGCCACTTAAAGAGCTGAGCTAAGGGGCAGGCCCCCCGCATTATTATTTAAAGAGCTAATTCTGGATTCTCAGGTAACTTTCTGCACTGCTCCAAAAGCAGAGGCTGGCAGTGAGAGCCTTCCTTGTTCAGTGAGTTTGGCTCACCACAGAGGCACAGCTGGGATTCCTCATGGGGAGGGCTGCAGTCTGTACCTGGAAGGGAGACTTCAGCTCAGCAGGTGCTCTGGTGAACAGAAACTGAAGGATGACACTGAATGGGATGATCTCCCCCAGTGCGGGGCTGTTGGCAACATGTTCGCTTGTCTGGAAGAGCAGTGGTCTACAAGGAAGAGCAGAGGTTAGCTTGGTGCGCAGAGGCCGCAAGGTGGGAATACATTCCACTGTGAGGGAATGCTCTTCCCTAGAGGGCAGCTGTAGGGCTGCCTCCACTCAGTCTGGCGCACATGCATGTGTACGCACCCCCCCCACACACACATACAATGCATACCACGCTGATGCAGCTCTCAGCTCCTTCCTTGACTGTAATCTCTGGGCAATAGGTAAGATGTTACTTCTACGTTACTTAGCAAAATTCTCTCCTAGAGTTCATTTAATTAATTATATGATCTCAAGCTGAGATCAAATACAGCAAAATAAAGGCCTCGGTTATAACAGATTTCTTAGTCAATTCTTTCAGCTTTCATTTTACATACAATCCTTCTTTGGGCTATAATTAAACGTGAATAAAACAAAATATTTTCTAAACAACTTTTGTCTCTGTATACAAAGTTATGACTTTGTCGGCCATTCCATCCAAGTTAGAGTAACTCCCTGTACCATATTTCTGAGACTTACTATTCAATTTTATAGGAGGAGTATGCAGGTGAATCCACACCACTACCAGTCACCTACCACCTTGTGCAAAAGGCTGGTAAGAAGCCAGCATAGCAGAGCATGCCTACCATCCTAGTTACTCAGGAGGCTGGAACAGCAGGACTGCTTAAGGGAAGTGTGAGGCCTGCAATGCAACTCCACCTCCAAAAATTAGATTAGAAAGACCAGCTAGAATAGTTTGAAGCTATTATTCATCCTTCCTTTCCTTTGAGAACTAATGACTATAAGAAGGTGAGCACTAGAGGCCGAATCAAAGGCGCCAGCTGGCTGCAGCACCTCTGAACAGAGATGACTGCAGCCTGGGAGAGCGCACCCTCCCGGCTCCTCCTCCACCGCATCTCAATCACCCCATCTGGGAAAGGAGGCCTGCATGAAACACGAACTTCTTCCTCCCTTTCACCTCAAAGGTCTTAAGGCCAAGGGTGCTCTCAACAGAGAACTGGTTCTTGCTGGACCTTGAAGATTATTTTACAAATTCTTCATATTAACTATTCTTCAACTACAATCTATCTCTACAGGGGCTGTTTTAATTTCAAGTGCTTAATCAGAAACATTTCATCAATTATTTTCTTTGGTTCTGGGGAAATATTTCCTTTCTGTTGTTTCTCATGCAAGGTCTCTGGGAGTGTGCCTAGGGCCTTCCTTGGCCTGGAGGAGGTGCATCCCACATCTGCCTTGACAGTGTCCCCAGCCCAAGTCATGCCACAGACTCTGTGACCAGCAGGTAGGACCCTAGCTGATCACCTTCTCTGACATGAGAAGGCTGCAAAGGGAACTGTGATGTAGGCTGCAGGCTTCCCTGTCAGGGTTGTCAGTGCGTGGCACTTTGCCCAGCTAGGGGAAGCATGATCATAATCAGCCGTGACAGCGATGGCCACATACACTGTGCTTGCAAAGGGCCAGGCCCTGTCTTCCTTCTTTTCCTAGGCTGAGCCACAGTACCAGACACTGCAATTTAAAGAAAGAAAGGTTTATTTTGACTCAGTTTACTGAGCAAAACCTCAACACTCAGAAATGGGACTGACACAGCCATGCTTGCCACAGAGCCTACTGGAATACAGGGAATGGCCTCACTTTGACCACCTGTACCCCACAGGCACAGTGCGCTCATGCCTCCTTCAGCCTATAGTTTCTAAGCAGGAAAGAAAAACAGCAGCAGATATCAGCATCCAAACATCCCACAATGCTCCTGGGTGGCTTCCCAAGACGTACTGGTGCTCAACACAAGTGACACACAGCTTGAGGTGGCAATAAGACATCAGCCCAATCACCTGCAAGGCTGCTCTGGAAGCTCCCATAATCTCAGCACATTGGCTCCAGTCCTTGAAGAAGTGTCCCCATGCCAGTCTCAGACTAATAGCAAGGCCCGGCCAGGCAGGGGATCTGGCCATGGTATATCTCTGCAGTGTGCAGGGACAAAGGGGCCTGTCTAGGTGTGGTGACCACAGACTCAGAGGCCACCTCAGGGACTTTATGGAGCACAGGCTCCAGCCCTATTCATGGAGATCAGTAATCCTGCCTGAACCCAGTGGCCAGCCCATGTGCCTGCCCTGCCCAGAAATCACCGTGATCCCAGGGCCAGCCAGCAGCCTCACGTGAACTCAGAGCTCAGGCAGCAACTGGCCGACCAGAGATGCTCACAGAGGTCCCTGCCTGTCAAGGTCATAGTAGCCTAGCCTGCCCTGCCAGTCATAGGTCAAACACTGCAGCTCTGGCTATGCAAAGAGAAGTTGGGTCAGATAGGAGAGACAGCTGTTTTCTCAGATACACAGACATGGGACTGCAGGGTCAGCAGGTCAGACACCACCAGGAGAAACTAACACAGCTCCTACAATGGACCCAAGAGACACGCCTGACACATATTTCAGAACAATCATCCTAAGAAAGTTCAGCAAACTACAAGAATGTACAGATTTTCAAAAGTGAAATTTGGGAACAAAAGAAGAAAACTGACAAACAGAAACAAAAAATAAAAACTCAAAGAATATAATGACAACTAAAAACATGAAGAGAAAGCTTCAGTAGTAAACTTGCTCAAGCATAAAAGACAGAATTTCCTTTGACTTCCTGTGGTCCTTCACACTGAACCACATCCCCAGATTTTAAAAAACTTTGTATTTTGAGACATTGTGTGGCTGGGCTTGAACTTGAGAACTTGCTGCCTCAGCTTCTTAGAGGGCTGGTAGTACAGACATGTACCATCATAACTAACCCAGAATATTGTAAACTATCCAATTAGGGGAGCAAAAAAGGAAAAAGAATGAAAAGGAATGAAAAAAGCCATGGGAATTACTGGAAACCAACCAAAGAACTGAAGACACACTTAAAGAAATGGTGGCTGACAATTTCCCAAACCCAGGGAATGATGCCAATAACATCCTCAACATGCAGGTACAGAAAGCGAAGCGGTCTCCAAGCCCTAAGAGACGTCAAATCACATGACAGTCACACTTTCTACATTCAAAGATGGAGTTTTGGTGCAACCAGAGGCAGGAAATGCATCACACAAAGTGAGTCAGGAGGGCCGCCAATGGTAGTGCTTTTCACGCTTGAAAACTCTTCCTCTCCAGACAATGAGAATTAGACAGCTGATTCTGTTTCTCTTTGATGTTTTCACCAGGAAATCTAAAGCCAAATTTGAAACTTAGCAATGAAATTAGTTTAATGATTTATGTTAGTTTGCCTGCTATCTGTGCTTTTGCTTTCCTTCAGTATACACTTACTATAAGCTGCATGTGATACAAAGCAGGACAGAGCAAAAAGGGAAGGAGGACAAGAAGTGGGGCACAGACAGGGAGCGAGAGGCCGTGGGGACACAGGGCTGCCCCTGAGTGCAGGCTGCGGTGCCTGTGCAGCAGGCCTTGTGGAAAAGGTCCTGTGTAACCTGGGGTCTGTCTGGCAGTCACCTTCCCTGTGGAGCTCTTAGTCATAGAAGCCATTTTTCTGACAAGATCAAGTCTTTCACAGCTGCCACAGGAGAACTGCCCAAAGGCCACAGAAGGCAGAACTGGCCCTGATCCTGTTGCACTTCCCTGACGTAATTAACCTACAAACACCAAGTGTGGACATTTTATGCCTACTGCTTGTTTTAAGAGATGAACTTGAAAACACCAGCAAGTTAAAAAAAGTAAATCTCCATGTGAAGTGCTTCATGAAACAAAATTAATTAAGGTATTATAAAAAGCAGTTATCCCAAATGTCAAAATGTCATTCTTAGAGAACACTGTTCTCAATACAGCGGTGCTTTCAAAGTTACACTTCCCAGCAGAAGATAGTATTAATTAGCGGAGTACAGGGTTCAGGAGGAAGGACTGCACCTTCCAGATGCGAGGCTCACACTAGTCATTGAGGGCTGTCAGCGGGGGAAAGCTAGTCAGGAAGTTACGTCAGACCCAAGGCGGCTGCTGCTGTGTCCACCTTGACATAGGGAGGGGCCTGGAGTCTATGCACTGAGCTCCAGAGCCAGCCTGGCTAGAGGGGGTGAAGGTGGAAACTCAGGGCCCTTGAGAGAAGAATATGTGCTGAATCCCTGCAGGTGAGAGCCCTAAGATGCTCAGTAGGACATCGGGCTCGAGGACACGAAACCACGGGTTGGGCCCCAGGAGAAAACAGCACAGAGAGAATGCGGGGCAAACAAGCTCAGTGTGGAGAGGTTAGAATCTGTCCTTTCTCAGAAGCCCGCTGAAGGATTCAGCAGAACAGGTGGAGGGGCAGCAGGACTTTTGGGTAGACACTCACGGGCAACGCAAGCGGCCGTTTGCCTGAATGGTCCTGGAGCCTGGTCTGAGAGCCCACATGACAGCGGACAAGGAGACAAGATGAACATATGAGCAGCTGCCACCACCAGACTCCCTTTGCTGATCTCTTTCTGGATGACACACATGAACTTTCAGAAACAAACAGGAACAGGAATGAGATGGAGGGCAGTGGCATAGGCTGGCCAACAGGCCTCACTCAGGAGGCAGTATCTCCAAGGCTCTGGACACATATCTGGCGCAAGTCAATGCTCCACTGAGGGCATTTTGAAACAATACGACTGATAATGTACTAAATATTCAGCCCCTGAATGTCCCTGGGCAATCCCAGCACTATCAGAGCACCAGCAGGCGTCACGGCAAGCCAAACCCAAAAAGGTGGCATGCTAAGACCCAGAGCTTGGAACTAAGGCTCCTGGAATGTCTGGGAAACATTTCAGAGAATGCAGCACGGGGCTGCGATCACAAGTGGAAGACAGGACAGAACGCACCTGGGGTCTTCACCTTAGAAGTGCTACAAGAAGAAAGATGGCCTCCTTCCACGGCTACAAAAACTCAAGCAGGGAAGCGTGGATTTCCCAGAAGCATCAGCATCATCTGGGAACAGAGGACCTGGAGAGCCCCTGCCACTCCCACAGTGAAAAGCAGCCTCTCTCAGTGATTGATGGCTCCCTCCTTCCATCACCCTCAGGTTCAGAGACCCTTGGGACACAGCCCCATCTCCTGACAGCTTTCACTGTGCCCTCATTAAACCTCCATGTCAGGGAGCTGCCAGCCAGGCAGGCTGTGGACACCATCAGGGACAAACTGTCCCTCAGCAGTGAGATGGCGGGCCTTCCTAATGGCCAGATCAGTGTCCCTGAGCTGGCGAAGAGCATGTCATCCCTTTTGTGTCTTCAGCATCACACAGATCTGCACTGACAGTGTCAAAGGTCGGCACTTTCAGGCCTGTGGCCAGAGAGGGTGAGGGTAACAGCCTCACAAACAGGGCTCAGGCACTAATGCCATGCTGGAGAGGGACAGCAATATGGGGACTTGGCAGCTCTAACTCAGAGTCCCCTGAGAAATACAGCCACCTGGGGGCAAATCACTAATGTCAGCCGCTCTCTGAGGAAGCATCTGTCCTGGGTTGGAAAAGGGTCTTGCTGCCTGAGGAATTCTAATGCAACAGTAAAATGGAAATGTATGCAAGAAGCTTGCAGCTTAATTAAACAGTCCACTACTATCACCATCAGGAAGAGGGCCCTGAGGCAGACAGCTTTGGGCTGGGGCAGGTGCTTGCCAGGGCTGCCCGTGTGTGTGTGTTTGTGTGTGCCTCAAAATGAACAGAGGCAGTGGCTTACGTTCATAGCCCTTCTCTTCTCAAGCAGTGCAGCCGAACCCCTCATTGTGCAATGGGACTGGGTCTGAACATCCTAATACACAAGGCTTTCATTTTGGTTATTTTTTTCTTTATTTTAGGGAAGGGTCTACAGGGTGTTCAGGATCTCACTACCAGATCGGACTCAGTGATCCACCTGTTTACAGCTTCCCAAGAGCTGGGATTACAGGCGCATGCCACCACTCCCAGTCTCAATTGCCAGCTCAGGGTGCTCTGGGGGCAGGGCCAGCATGGCAGGCCCTGGGATCAAACCCCTGGCCCCTGTGCCTGCTTGCAGGCACTTTAATCCACTGAGCTATTTGGCTGACCCTTCATTTTGGTTCTTGATCAGTTGATAAAATAGCTGTCTTAGTCTCATCAAATCTGAGAAGGTGCTAGTCTGGTGGATCTGTAGGAATATTCTGCTATTTAAAAATATTTTGCAATTCGTCAGTTTGCCATTGTGGAGATACTGCCTGGGCAGGCTACACTTTTAGGTGAGCAAGGCCTTGGGAGCAAGGGAATTATCCACAGGGATGCTCATGGGGACCAGAACACCTTGGGAAAAGTGCAAGCATCTCTATGGTGGTAGAAAAGAAAAGACTGCTCCCATCAGCGGGGCCACATAGACTGAAAGAGTGCAAAGCCCTATGAAAAATGCAACCATTACTGGCCATGAAACTAAGTGGATTAAAGTAACTCGAAATAGAAATGTCAAAGATTATTTCATGAAGTATAGGTAGTTGCTGTTTCAAGCAACATACATATGTGTTTCTGTAGGAGTGTAATAGGTTTGAGTGTGTCTGTGGGTTTGTATGCAATGGGACCTCAGCTCATGAACACGTGTTGCAAACAATTTGGTTCACAAACAGAAAACATTTGGCAAAATATTGTTTTGTTTGGAAATTCTGCATCTGTGACAAGTACAACCTGTTTCCACCTTTTCCATACCAACACAAATGTGACCATCTTTTACAAAACTGTAGGACAAAATAAATTCATGAATTCAGGTATCACTGCATAGCCAAATTATAATGGCTTCAACAAAATATTTAAATCCCTGAGCTGACCCAAAAGAGGTATCTGAAAATATCTGTGATCTCATTTTAAATATTCCTGAAACCCACCTTGGTACAGATGGTGGCTGGTTAATCCTGATTGCCAACTTGGCCATACTAAAGACTCCTGGAGAGGCGACTGTGCTGGGAGGGTGCCAGGCTGCCCAATGTACTAGTGCACTGAAAAGTTCATGACTGAATGGGCAATCAGGAGATGGCCCAGTTGGAGGAAGTGGGTCATGGGGTGTGACCTCGGGGACTGTGTCTGGTCCCTGGTCCTTTCTTCTCGGGCTCTTTACCTGCTTTTGTGTTCCCAGATGCCTGAGCTGAGACCAGCTGACCACAGACTGCAACTGTGAGTCAAAACAAACCTCTCCTTTAAACTGTGTGCACTGGGCATTTTGTCCCTGCAAAAGGAAAGCTGGCCAATACAGATGGGAAGTAATTTTTCATTTGAAAAAAAAAAGAAATGTGTTGGCATTTAGAAATAAAAAAGTAGCTCTATGTCAATTACAAATGGATAAGGTAAAGCACTGGGCTCCCCTCAATTAGCAACACTGGATTCTCATATTTCTTATGCTATACCTGAACCTTCTATTGTCATCACTTGATTACATAAAAGAGCAAAGTGAACATTTAAAGGATATGCTACTTAATGATTATTTTTGTTTGCAGCACTGGGTTCGTTTTTGAGAAGGTGAATGCCTGGACCTTTATGGAAATACATTAAGTGATCACCATCAGTTATAATGTCACTTTATGCCCTGATATCCCATGTGGCACTCTGTACCCACAAAACTGTTCTAAGTATGAGTTATAGTGATTGCCTTGGCCTCCTTTTTGAGTGTATTTTCTGTACAGGCTGTGATGTGAAGAACTTTGAGAATCTCTGGCTTATGGAATAAACAGCCATAGGAACAACATCTCCTTATCTTCTCAAGACATTCTGCTGAAGACACCAGCCATTAAGTTAATTCAGTATTGCATTAAATCTAAATTGATACAAGCTTGAATTCATACAGCACCAAAAAGGATTTTTTTCTGTTAAGCTGGTTTATCCTTAGATCACAAATATAAATGAACTCAGTTTTTCTTTCTTTCTTTCCATAAGGTTCAACCTCAAATTTTGTGCCCAGCTGCATTAGCCAAGATGCTAGTACATTTAGAGTCCTTCCCAAGACCCATCAGAGTTCAGGTCACTTAATCCTTCACACAAAAGTCCTGTTATGTCCTTATCATGGACTACACCCTATAATCTTTCTAAAACCAACTAGATTAAAATTGAACAAATGAAAATTTCAGAAAACAATGCCTATCCTATTATGAGCTACTTGGTATTATTACTCAATACATTCCTGCAACAAAGGGATTTTAAAATCCCTTTTTTCTTAAAAAAGAAAAAAGTTTCCCCAAAAAGAAGAGAACAAACCTTACAGATTATTCTTACGAACTTAAACTCAAAAAGAGAATATATGCACATTAATTAGTCATTGCATATGATTCTATATAGCCTTCTGATATGAAAAATAGGCTTTTAGGATGCTGTATATCAAACTGTTATTGTCATGGACAAAAATGACTGAATGTTGACAAATTTTATGTAGTTCAACCTACAGCGAAAGAATTTGTTAATAGGATATGAATATATTAACAAAGAATTAGGTCTTACCTGAATGACCTCAGCATTCGATAGGACTTTCCTAAATCAGATACTCGTCTGCAAAATGGACCAACCGCCAACTCCATCTGAAAGATTAAAAGATGCTTCACAGCTTTCATGTCAGACACCCAAGATGGATTTGAGATACATTTGTCACAGAAAGTTGCAGCTTGCAATAAACTCAGGTTTCCTGGACTGTGAGGAAAGTTCTGAAAGTCAACTAAATTTCTGAAAAGGCAAGTTATTAGATACTTTTTACATTGATTTACCAAAGGAACCCAAGATGTGAAAGTAGAAAAACAAGGTGACTGTGGTGGCACACGCCTATAATCCCAGCATTCTAGGAGGCTGAAGCAGGAGGATGATACATTCAAATCCAGCCTGGACAATTTAGAAAGACCCTAAGTCCCAAAAATATGGGGTAGGGGAGAGCTGGGAATCCAGCTTGACTGCAGAGCATTTTCAGTACTATAAAAATAAATCAAAATATTTTTTGTTAAATAAAAGGAAGAAGTATGGTTCATTTCTCTATTGAAATATCAGGCAAAGTTTTCACGACCGTGTGCCTCTACTTCAAGTAGGTATTGCAAGTCTTTTCACAGTGAATGTAAACAATGGGAATTTCTATCATCAGCATGGCCCCAGGATCAGCTCTCTCACCCTTCGGTAGAACACCTCACCCAGCTTCTTTCAGGCACAGATCTCACATCTGTAACATGGAAATACTAAAATCTGCCTGACAGAATTATGTAAATTAAGCAGCTAAATTCCACGAAGCACGCAAGCATGGCACCTAAGTGCTCGGTAAGTGTCAGCAACGACTATCAGTATTTAGAATTTTTTCTTTTAGGTTTTTACTAAATTAATCTGTTACCTGACACAAGAATTTAGCATACTTTTTTCACTTTTCTTTATTTTCTCTTTTTCCTGGAATATTCTGCTTATCATTAATTGGGCGACCTGTTTTTTATCTATGAAGTGTACTCAGATGAGAAACTTTCTCCACTCTTGATATTAAGTATGCACCCCAATAGAAGAGACTTCAGAAAATGGCTGAGAACAGGCTGCTCTCTGGAGTGCAGCGTCTTTATTCGAGCAAATCACAGAAAAGGAAGTGAGCTTTCTGTCCTGCTGGCAGCCCCATGAAACTGCTCAAAATCTCCTCCCCATTGGTAGACCACAGGGCCCTAATCAGACATTCATTTAGAAGTATGTTTGTCTGGCTATTAATTGCCAGGTACCAAGTCACACGCGGGAATAAAATGATGACTTCAGGTGTCTTGCCTTCAAAGAAATTTTAAATTTAGTAGAGAAAAGGGTATTCATTTATTCAAATAATGATAAACAAAATGATGAGAGGTTGTTAGCATATATAAATATACATTCAAATTCTTATGATTTTGAAAAAAATTGTTTGAATAAATGTATGTTACACACATAATAATTATTATTAAGCAAAATGCTAAGTGTCAAGGAGAATTGGAGGGCAGCTTCCTTGAGATGTCTTGAAAATATGAAGTGGCCAAGTTAATACCTGACAGGATAAAAGAGTGTGTACTATATTTCCAAGACAGAAACTTTACATAGTTGGAAGATACTAAAATATATAAGTGTAAGAGAAAAAAGGAAAATCTAGGGGGAAAAAAAGCCAGGATTCTTACCAACAACACAAAGCACAACAGCTGTGAGCCATCTTTCTCAAACTCAAAAAACAGAGGGGCTATTCCTGGGACCTGCCTAGTTTACTCACTTCGCGGGAGCTTCTGGTTTCCTTCCTACGTATCACTGACTTTATACTGACTGCAAAGAAAGATGTGATCATCAGGTAGCTCTGACCTGGTAATTTCACTCACATACTCAGCTGTATATATTTTTAAACACTGTATAGATTTTTAAGCACTGTGTCTGAAATGTTTTGGTAAAATTAAAAAAAAACAACAAAAAACAAAACCCTGCTGGGTTCACTATCTTCAAAAATCAAACCAAATAATGTTCTGACCTAGTACTTGAGCATTTAAAACAATAAAATGGCAGGGGAAAGTTACTGTGTGAGCAGATGACCTCAGAAGGCTGAGGAATCTATGATGATGCAAAACACTGCCATGCCACAGGACAATTTCAGAGTGGTGAATGTTTTGAAGTAAAATTTTCATCCATAATGGACCTGTTGGGTTTTGGAAATCATTTTTTGCTGCCAGAATTCCATCAAACAATAAAGGCTGTTTTAAAGAGCAGGAGTGTTCCTTTCAGAGGAGGTAATACTACAATTAGCTGTGGGTTCAAAAACAGCCTATGCAGCCACAGGGCACTTCTCCAGCCGTCCTGTGTGGATGGAAGGATGAGCGGTTGGTCGGCTGCAGGCAAGCGGGCTGATTACCAGCTTTTCCTCACCCACCGCAGACACTCAGTAACCACAGGGCATCTCTGGATACTCCCCGAACACTCTTGCCCTGACACTCACTGCTCAGAAAGGGAGGCAAGAAGAATTAGACGAGACACCTAAACCCTGGATAGCTTCTTTTCTAAATGTGTACTTTCGGAGCAAAGTGAAAGTGATATAAATGTATACTTAAAGGGGATTAGAAGACTCACACATAGAAAGTGCTAGAAGTGCCACTAAACAATTTAATGTTAACTTAACGAGCCATCCTTCCCCTCAGGGAGGAAAAGAAATGGGTAGATGGGGAGCAGGTTCCAGAGGGCACCTCAGGCAAATCTGAGGAGAGATTCAGGCTCAGTGGATGGAGCCTCAGGGGACTTGGACAAGTGCAATGCTGTCAGAACTGCTACGTGATGAATGTAGATGAGGAGACCATGTGGTCACAGCAGGGAGTTAATTACCTGTAGGAAGCCACCTTGAGCTGGTGACCTGGATTCCTCAGGGGCGGGTGTCAGCACCTCCCTCACCATGACCCTCCAGATGGCACCCTGCAACTACTGTCTCTGTCTGCACTGTGGCCAAGGAGGAGCAGTTCGGATTCTTTTTAAAAAACTCTTAAAATATATCATAATCTGCCTATGCAATTAGATTTTATGCCAGACCTACTGGTCCCTCTAAAGCTTGGTCTCTCTGTGATTTATGCCAGAATAGTTGGCACTTTATCACAGGAACCCTTTCAAACGCACAGAGCATTTGTGTGTTCTTGGTTCCAGTGACCTCAGTGGCTTTTTTAAATTCTGAATACAAACTGATAGAACTTTCAATAATGAGGGAGTTAAAAGGTTTCCTAGCTCACAGTGGGTGCTTGTCATGAATATAAATGTCAGGGTAAAGCTACTTATTTAAGTGTTATGACTAACCTTGGAAAAACACTTCCAACCCAGCACAATTCTGAAGGCAGAGGTAAAATAACACAGAACTATAACTGTGGGCAAGAAACAAATCCAATGAAATACAAACTCCACATTCAAAATTTAATTTTTTTGGCAGTATTGGGGACTGAGCCCAGTGGCACTCCATCACAGCATATACCCTCATCCTTTTTTATCTTGAGACAAGATTATGCTAGCTTTCCCAAATTTTCTTCAAACTTACAATCTTTCTGTCTTATCCTCTTGAGTTGGTGAGATTATAGGTGTCTCCTACCATGCCTGGTTCAAAACTTAAATTAAAAAATGGGGACAGGAAGCTTGACATCATAGCTGGACCACATCTATCAAAGCTACTTGGTTATAAATATAACTGCCACGGTGCTTCCATCTGCCTTTCCTGTGCCTGTAACCCGCAGGGCCAGACCCACACCCAGGTGAGTGGTGGGCTGCTTGGAAATTGGGACTCACTGCACAGGTGTGGACCAGGTGCCTGCCCCCTTACTACTACAGGCTCCAGCCAGCAAATGCCTCTGGGGTGCCGGAAAGTACACTCTTGTACTACTACGCAAATGTTATGTGTATAAATACCTTTTCTATATTTAAGGAAAAAAGCAGACAACTTCAACTGACCCTAAGTCAGGAATAATCACTGACAAGTTTCATCTATGTTCAGGGAAGGGATTAGAAAAATTTGACACAAAAACAGTGATAAAATTATCAATAAGGGTAATCTGTCTTAAGAAAAAAGGATTGCACATCAAATTCTGAATCCTGCAGCTTGGAAAGGCAGATGCTCCCCTGCCACGGTGGCCAGGCCCTCTGAGTGCTACAGGCTGAGCAGCAAGGGCTAAAGGACAATGCCTCCCACCTCTCAAGACTCACAGGCAACATATCATTAAAGTGAAGTCTCCATGCGCCAAGCCCGGCAGCTTGGCCCTCTCCTGCCTGGCTGCCACTCTGATTGGATGTGAAATGCTGCCTCCAGGAAGGTGACTCAAGAACCAGCTGGAGCAGAACATAAACAAGCTGGGGAGGGGTGGATGGGGATGGGAACAGCACGGAGGAGGAAGGGGAGAAGAAGAGAGGCCAGGCTGAGTAAGGCTTACAATGTTGTTAACAATTTAGGACAGGTCCTAGGACATCACTGTGTGTTCATTTTAATAAGCATCCTATAATCCAGTAAGAGAAAAGATACTTTTTATATAACTCTCTTTAATTTACCTGTAAAACAAGGAAAAATGTACAGATGCCTAAGAATAAAGGTGACAAAAATAGAGAAGAAAAAGGAGCACCAAATTAATGGGAACATTTAATTAAGTTTTTTTTTTTTCCTGTGTGGCTGCTAAAAGCATATTTCTCAGAGGGAAGGCTCTTTTTCTGTGTGTCATCTAGTGGCCTCATGCATATCATTTGGAACTGCAGACAAATAACTGCCAGGTCAGTTAATAGGCAAAGAACCTGGCTCTTGAAACCTTTGGTTTGTTGATTTGTTTCCTTCTTAAAATACATCAGGCCCCAGGGACCCAGGGAGTACCTGACAGACATCACACAGGCAAGATCTGTTGGCGCAGGTCCTTAGCAAGGAACCAAGATACACTTCTGAATACACTCAGAAATAAATAGCCACATTAACATTTATCTTTATAAGCAGGGAGAATCTGGCGAACTACTACAAAGACTCCATTTGAGTAACTACTTAGTCTAGTAAAGCTAAGAGTTTGAAAGGCTTAAAAATTGACTTCACCTATAGCATGCTATGTAATAAGAATCATCTTGTTTGTGAATTCTTTCATGAAAGGGGGTATTTGGGATTTTTTTTTTCTTTGCCTCTGATACTTCAACTGGAAGGTTTTTAAAAAAAATCTGTTCTAAAATAAAAGTAAAAGTCTTTCTACAAGAGCTAATTATGTTCTGCTATTTTAATTTCATTCTCTCAGAAACATCAGAGAGCCTGGAATGATTTCATAGCAGGCCACAGACAAACATCTCTATTTACATGAGGGGGCCAAATAATCACAATTTATATCTAGCTGGTCCCCTGTGCAACTCAGTGAATTACAACACATCCTTGGAAGGCTGGGCTGGCCTCTGTGGGATTCTCTGGAGTTCCTTCTCCTTAAATGACAACAGGTAGCCACTTTCTAGTTTCAAAGGCTACTTCATTGCCTACGTCATCTTCCAGCAAGGTCACATCAGTTAGTCTTATCAATACTGACTTAGTGGGATGGTAAAATAGTTGAGAAAGGCCCATTTTATTTAACAACATGAAAAGTTTATTGATTGTATAATGAGCTACTTTACCTTACCCTTGAAAGATCAGAAATGAAGAATGATTATTTTGTTAAACACAACAAATTAAATATCTACTACAAAAACATCTTTAAGCAGAGTGTGATAGTGCATGCCTGTAATCCCTGATCTCAAGTTTGAGGCCACCTGGGGAGCACAGAAAGACTGTTACAAAATTTTTAAATGGCTGGGGATTTTAAAGCTCAATGCAAAGGGGTTTAATCCTCAAGTACTGCATCAACAAACAAAACCCTTTAAACTACTCTTCACCATTCATTTCCTCATTTATCATGGTGCTGGGAATCAAATTTCTTTTCTTCTCTTTTAAAATTTAGCAAAATAGTTTTTAAGTGGGTTTATTTTACGTGATAGCTCTTTCTAAAAGCCTGATGAACAGACAGCCTTTTACTAAGACTGAAGCATGTGCTCCCTTTGCAATTATGCACCCACTTACCTGCGCAAAATCAGCAGCAAGTCGCATTTTCCCGCCTTCACCAAGAGGCCTTATAAGACTGGCATTGCGGATAAAAAGTTTAATTGCTCTTTGGGCAATAGCTTCAGTGTTGTCAAAGACAAAATCTGAGCATTCAAACTGTTTAAAGTAGTCATTCATAACTCTGGCAATGAAACCCTGTAGCTCCTTCATGTACAAGGAACAAGGAATATCAGGCTTTCCTGAGCTGGATAATGACCTGTAAAATTGAAAAAGAAGACAACAGCCACTTTCAGTACTAGTAGAATAAACTACACTGACCCACCCTGCCCCAACTGCTGCTATTTCAAGTCTTAGCACCATTTATTTTTTCCTAAGTGTTAAAGAGCATAAAACAATGTTTCATCATATTCTAAAGACTGTGCTTAGTTATGAGCAGGATTACTGGAGGAATTTTAGAATCCATTTACCAAGAAGATTATTAAGAATGAAGCAGACAGCCATCTGTCTTGGATGAATCACACAAGGGCCAGCCTCACTCTCTGGCCGCTCAGTCCCCACCCTCCACCTCCCAGCCTCTGAGCTCTCTGTGCACTCCCATGTTTTGCCCGGGAAGCCAGTGCCTCAATAATGGAACCCGAAATAGCATTTTACACTTTGAAATGGCAGAAAATGCTGCCCTCTCCAAACAAATTCTTGGCAACAATATCTCTGTTCGTGTGCTATTTAATCAGATCAGGCCAACAGCAGAATTCTGACTGTGGAACTGGTTATGCAACAGGACACGTGGTTTGCATTTTCTCCTCCAGATGATGAGCTCTGGAAAGGCTTTAATTTGGATCAACAGATGATGCCAGCTGATGCTCTATGTTGTACTATTTATAACATATAAATGTTTACAAATGCCCTTTAAAGATTATATTAAAAGAATATGAAATATTTATAGGGAAGAAAAGTGAACCCAAATTAGAAATCACCTGATACTGGCTAACAGATGAGATCATTTGCTACATAAGGCTGAATCTTTTCCAAAAAGCAACTTGTGTTTCCATATTCTGAGAATGACGCAGACGAACTGGGGAGGGTCTAGAGATGAACAAGACATGACTAAAATTCCTAGAGCAAAGGAATGAGGCAAACTTGATGACCATCAAATGTAGAAATGGTTATCACAGATGGAATGTTTAACAGAGTTCCTCATTTCCAGAGCAGACAGAAATGGAGAAGTGAAGCTTTTGTCCCTGCAGGAAGGGATACTGTCTTACTAATGGCAAGGTCTTTGGGAGGTGTGTGGTCAGACATTCCTGTGTGTCACCACAGGATGAAACACTACTGAAGCAGAGGGGAGATTTGGCCAGGCTTGGACAAACTGGCTTTGTCAAATTCAGACCACTACATGGTCTTCCACTATGGAGGTTTTACCAGTATAAAATCTACTGGTCAAAAGTAAATAAATAAAGTGTAATGGTCTCTTTCATATCTTTCCTCTTAACTAAAGTATACAGTGGTGTTATATGTATGAAGTGATAAAATATCTCCACCTTAAATATGTGCTTATTCCTAACTGCTACTTCATACTATCTAACATCACACCACTGTACCCCACCCAAGCCCTATCATCAGCATTCTACTGTTTTTATGAGTGCCACTGTTTTAGATTCCCCAGAGTATAAATACACACTTTTCCTCTGTCTGGTCTATTTCACTTAGTAAAATGTCCTCCAGGTTCACCCTGTTGTAGCAATTGACAGAAATTTCTTGTTTTTGAAGTCTGAATAGCACTCCACTACATACCTACACATTTTCTTTATTGGGTGGCAGACATGTAGGTTAGGTTGATTTCCTAATTTGGCTACTATAAAAACTGCTGCAGTAAATATGGCAGTGCAGACATCTCTCTGACTTACTTCAAGTCTGCAGAATACAGACTCATAAGTTGGGATTGCTAGATCATACAATAATTCCGTTTTTAAGTTTTCTGAGAAAATGCCATATAATGGCTTTTAATGGCTGAAGATACATTCCCATGACAGTATACAAGGGCTCTTTCCTCTACACTTTTATAAACATTAGTGATTTTCCATCCTTTAATAATAGGCTTTCTGACATGTGTCAATTCAGATATCCTTGGGATTTTAATTTTTAAGTTTCTTATAGATTTTTGATAGTAATCCCTTATGGTTAAATTAGAAAAACAGCTGCTTATACCAATGTCATATAGCTTTTTCCTAATGTTTTCTTTTAGTATCTTTTTTATAGCTTCAAGTATTACATTTATGCCTTAAGTCCATTTTGAGTCCTATATGGTATAAGAAAAGGGTCCAATTTCTTCAGCATGCAGATAATCCAGTTTTCCCAAAACCGTTTATTGAAGAGATTATCCTTGTCCATTATGTATTCTTGGCACCTTTGCACAATACGAACAATTTATACAATTTAAAGAGAAACAAGACATTGCCACCTTTGTAAAAAATCAACTGACCTTAAATACCGGAAGTTTGATTCCGGTATAGTTTTCTATTCTTACTGGTTGATATGCTTTTTTTCTATGTCAGTATCATATTGTCTCAATTACTATGGCTCTGAAATACAGTTTGCAGTCAGGAAGAAAGATACTTCAGCTTTGTTCTTTTAATTTCCCTAGAAGATTGACATAGCTGTTCAGGGCTTTTTGAGGTTCCAAATGAATTTTAAGATTTTTTTTTCTTTTTTTTCCTGTGAGAACTGACTCTGTAGATCACTTTCATAACAGGGACATATTTTAACAATATTAATCCATCCAGCACTCAAATACAGAATATGTTTTCATTTATTTCTGTCTTTTTCAATTTATTTCATCTGCATTCCTTAGTGTACTTTTTTAGTGTACAGTAAAGTGTATAGTCTTTCTTCAGTGCACAGCTCTTTCAATTCCTTGATTTTTAAAAAATCTTATTTGGTAAAGGGCCTCACTATATAGCTTGGACCCACAGTGATCCTGCTGCCTCAGCCTCCCCAGCACTGGGAATGCAGGCATGTGCCACCATGCCCTGTTTCAATGGCCAGCATGGTGGGGCAGCATGGCATGCAGAACCAGGGATGGAACCCGGGTCCTTGCACTTGCCAGGCAGGCACTTAGACTGCTGAGCCATCTTTCCAGCCTTGATTTTTATTGAGAGCATCTTGTAAGTATATAAAAATGCTATTGGTTTTATATGATGACATTGTATTCTATGTCTTTAGTATATTTATCAAGTTTAAAAAGGTTTTGTGGGCTGGGGACATAGCTCAGTGGCACAGTGCCTGCCTGGCAAGCACAAGGTCAGGAGTTTGATTCTGGTACAAAAAAAAAAAGTGTTTATTTTGGGTAGTACTAAGAGTTGAACCTAGGGACGCTCACATGCTGGGCAGTTGATCAACTACTAAGCTACATCTCTACCTCCTTTTAAAATTTTGAGACAAGAACTCACTAAAAAAACTCCCCAGGCTGGCTTTGAACTTACAATCCTCTTCCTTCAGCCTCCCAAGTGGGTATCATTCTAAGCATGCAGGATTTGGCCAAGATCTAAGTTTCTTCTGGGAGTTCTTAGGGATTACTATATTTAAAATTCTGGGAGATAGCTCTGTGGCTTAAGCACTTGCCTGGCAAGCTCAAGGTCCTGAGTTCAATCCCAGGTGCAAAAAATAAATAAATAAAAATCTTAAACAGGAAGTACACCCTTTCTTCCACAGTTTCCAACTATTTTTTTCTTTTGTCTTGCTTTAACAAAGAATTCTACTACTACTACTACTACTGCTACTAGTACTACTACATTGAATAAAAGTGGTAAGAGTAGACATTTTGCTTTTTTCCTGATCTTAAAAAATTTTCAGCTTTTCATTAATGAGGACATTATTAACTGTCAACTTGTAAAGTAGGGTCTATACTGAGTTGAGGTATATTCCTTCTATAGCAAATGTGTTCAAAGTGGATCTTTTTAAATCATGAAAACATAAATTTTTTCAAAGGCTTTTCTGCATATAAGGGGATGATCATGATTTAATTATTCATTTTATTAATGTAAAGTATTACACTGGTTGATTTACATTTATGTTAACCACCTTTGCTTCCCAGGGAAAAATCTCACTTGATCATGGTAAATGATTTTTTGAAAGTGTTATTGAATTTGCTTTTGCTATTATTTTGAGGATTTTGCATCTGTGTTCATCAGGATTATTGGACTGTAATTTCTTTTCTGGTGATGTCCTTCTCTGGCTTAGGTATCAAGTAATGCAAACTTCACCAAAAGAGGAAGTATTCTGATTTTTGGTTTTGAAGTTTGAGAAGGACTATTAGTTTCTTTTGAAATGTTTGATAGAAGCGATTGGCCTCTCTGCTTTTTATTTATTTTTTTTGGACCAGAAACTTTCATTACTGGTTTCTTTTCTTTATTTTTATTATTCTCCTCAGATTTTCTATTTCTTCCTGATTCAGTAATGAGAAAGCTATATATGTTCGAAAATCTTCACACAATTTTCCATCACTGCTGTACTATCTTATATTCCAACAGTATAGATAGGTTCCTTTTTCCTATATATTCTAGCCAGAACTGACCTTTTGTATTCTGAATAAGAGCCACTGAGGTATCTTTTACATTATCCAATTTGTTGCTGCATAATTTTTATAATAAATTCCTATGATTCTTTGTATTTCTGTAGTTTCAGTTCTACCATCTCCTCTCTCATTTCTACTCTTAGTTTTCTATCATAGAGGCTAGCTGACAATAATTTTATCTTTTTTAAAACAACTTTTTTCTAAGTCTCTATTTCATTTATTTTTGCTTTGATATTTATTTGCTTCATTATGCTGTTAGCCCTGGCTTGTTCTTTTTCTAGTTTCTTGAAGTGTATCATTAGGTTGTTTGTTTAAGATCTTTTTTGATACAGTACAAGCACTTAATGCTATAAATATCCCTCTTGGAAATTATTTTGCTGCATCACGTAAGTTTTTTTTTTTTTTTTTTTTTTTTGCGGAACCAAGATTGAATTCAGGCCCTTGCGCTTGCCAGGAAAGTGCTTATTTCACCGAGTTATCTCCCTTGCCCCGGTTTTGTTATATTGTATTTCTATTGTCATTTCAGAGTTTTTTACATCTCCCTTTTGGTTTCTCCTTTGACCTACTGGTTGTTTCAAGGCAGACTTCAATATATTTGTGAATGCTCTAGGATTTCTCCTGCTGATGATTTCTAGTTTGATGCCATCGCGGTCACAAATGATTTAAATTCTTAAATTTGATTCGAG